TTTATTTATAGCTGATCAATTATTGTAGAACTATTGGTTGAAAAGCTTATTATTTCTCATTGGAATGCCTTGGCATCTTTGTGAAAAGCTAATTTATCAGAATGTGTCTATTTTAGTATTTTCTAGTCTATTCCATATATGTCTATGTTATGCCACTATAACACTATTTTGCTAACTTTATAGTAAGTCTTAAAATGAGGAAATTTAAGTCCTCCGACTTTAAACTTCTTTTTCAAAATTTTCTTTCCTATTGTAGATTATTTGATTTTCCATACAAATTTTATAATTAGTTTGTCAATTTCTAACAAATATTCTAAGATTTTGATTGAGATTATATTGAATTTTGTGATCAATTTAGGGAGAACTGATATTTTAATAATATTGAATCTTCCAATCCATGAGCATGGTATATCTCCCCCATGTATTTAGGTTATCTTTAATTTACCTTAATAATGTTTTTTAATTATAATGTTATTTGGTCTTTTTATAGTTTTATTTTGCTTGAGCTTCTTTCACCTTTCTAGATTTCTGTGTTTATAGTTTTCACCAAATTTGGAACACTTTTTTAGTCAGTATTTCTTCAAGTATTTCTATTTCAACCAAGTTGTCTTTTTTAGGGCCTTCAATTTTAAGTAAGATGATATTATCCCAAAGTCACTGATGCTCTATTCAAATTTTTTAATTTACTTTTTCTCTGTTTGCTTCATTTTGAACAGTTTCTATTGCCATGTTGTCAAGTTCTCTGATTTTTGTCACTCACCAGTGTTTCATTTGCTGTTGGTCCCTTTCTGACTGAATTTAATTTTTATATTATATTTTGTATTTCTAGAAGATCCATTTGGTTCTATTCAATTCTTTTGTATATCTTGCATTTCTCTCCTCACCATGCTCATGTTTTTATCTATGTCATGAATTTTGTGGAGTAAAATTCCATGGGGAGAAATTTTTTTCTAAGTTAACTGCGTGTATGTATTGTCTTTGGGGCTACTTGCAGATCTTGCCATTGGCTAGAGGATGAGAATCTTCTCTAGGTTTCTGATAAAGTTTATTGTTGAGGAATCAAGAATACAATAGAGCCTTTAATGGTCTCAATGAGACAAGGGTTATGAAACTGGAGACTTGATGGCTTCAAATGTATAACCAATATTTTTGCAAGTAGGTGTATGACTAGTCTGGGATCATCTTAAACCAAGGTTAAAGAAAAAGGTGTTTCTTGAATGGCCCAGCCAAATCAAGCCTAGGCTTTAATTGTATGCAAGGGCTTACCTACTTTTGGTTTACTTTGGTATTGATATTGTAATATTGGGCCCTGTTCACTATAGGAAAAGTCCTGTATAGACTTTTTGGCTTATGACAATTTTGGAGTTTTATTTGTGTTATCTTTATACTATGAGGTTAAAAAAAAAATAAAAATTTCCTAGGCTGGAAAAGTGACCTTGTTGCAATATTAACTTCAAATTGCCTTTACTTCCCCGGCCTGTTTAAAAAGACTGTCTGTGGCGGTTATTGATTTAATACCTCTAAACTTTCAAAATACCCTTTGTTGTCATCTCTGCAATAAATAGAACTGGAACCTGTAAAGATTTTTCCTTTGCCAGGTGACATAATATCAGACTTGTTTAATAGAGACTGCTAGAAGGATATAGGATGAAGGGGTTTCTCTTTTTTATTCTAGTGTGTTTTTCTAGCTAGGCTTATACTGAATTTCTGAAATAAGTGTGGCTTGGCAGCACCTAGCTTAAGCAGAGTCCAATAGCCAGCAAACATTAGGACTTCCCCACGGCGAGCTTTCCCTGGAAGCCCTCTAAAGGTCTTTTTACAAAAGAGTCCCATGAATCTCCCCTTGTGTAGCATTCACGAGGTGGCACCAGCTTGTGGGCAGCTTCCTCAGGCACCCCAGAGAGCCATTTCCCTGTGAGTGACATGGTACTTTACCATGGATGGCTTTCTCTAAAAGCCCCCAGGCAACTGTATATCTAATCCTGCATGTGTTTGAGAACATTATATCTGTCATTTGTGACAACATGGATGGACCTGCTGGGCATTACGATAAATAAAATAAGCCAGGCACAGAAAGACAAATACCACATGATCTCACTTATATGTGGAATCTGAAAACATTGCTCTCATGGAAACAGAGAGTAGAAAGGTGGTTACCAGAGGCTGGGATGGGGAGGAGGGATGGGGAAAGGAGAGATGTTGATCAAAGGGTACAAAGTTTCAGTCAGATCAGAAAAATAAGCTTCAGTAATCTATTGCACTGCATGGTGACCACAGTTAATAATAGTGTATTGTTTATTTCAAAATTGCTAAAAGAATAGGTTTTTAACATTCTCGTTACAAAATAAGTTGATGAGTTGACAGATATGTTAAATAACTTGATTTAATCTTTCTACAATGTAGATTGAAACATCACATTATAAATATATAAATATAGCAATTAAATATAAGCATTTAGCATATATATAGCATAAATATTTAGCATAAATATAGCAATTACTTGTCAATTAAAAATAAATTAATTTTAAAAAGAATGTGTGATTATATCTAATTCAGCTTATTTTCATCAGAGATGTGGATCCAAACAATTTAGCTTATGTTTACTAGAGACTTGAACCACAACTTTACTTTTTCCAACGAGGCAATTTCCTGAACTTTGAGAGACTAAAGTATATGTGAATAAGACAGTTTAGACTAACACTCTGGGAGGCCGAGGTGGGAGGATTGCTTGAGCTCAGGAGTTCGAGACCAGCCTAAGCAAGAGCAAGACCCCGTCTCTGCTATAAATAGAAAGAAATTAGGCAAATAACAAAGAATAGAAAAATTAGCTGGATATAGTAGTGCGAGCCTGTAGTCCCAGCTACCCGGGAGGCTGAGGCAGGAGGATCACTTAAGCCCAGGAGTATGAGGTTGCTGTGAGCTAGGCTGACGCCACAGCACTCTGGCCCGGGCAACAGAGTGAGACTCTGTCTCAAAAAAAATAAAAAAAATAAATAAAAGACATGGTTTAGATTCTTAAGTTGTAAACCATGTTATTCTTCTAATAATCAAAACCTTTTTGGCTTTTGATTTGTCTGCAGATAAACTCCATTCTCATTAGCTGGCTGGCTAGTATGGATATTCTATTAAGCCATTGCCACAAGTATCATTTTAAACTCATCTCTTGCCACATTTCTATGCTAACCCTAAGCTGCAGCCACTCTGAATTCCTTGTATTTCCCTTGATGCACCATCCTCTTTTCCACTTGGCCTTTGCACATTGTTCCAGTTGCCAGATTAATTTTTACTTGTGCCTTAGGATGCAGTTTGCATGTGACCTCTCACAGCTTCTACTGGCCATATTTGTGTGCTTCTCCTTGGTGCTTCCATAAACTACCTCTAATTGTACTTACGACATTATATTCATTAATGATCCAAAAAGTCATTCATTCATTTAGCAAATATCTATTTGTCATATTCCTTCTTTATGCAAACAATGAAGATACAAACATTCAGAAGATTCATTACCCCATCTTTATATTCTGATCTGTACATGTCTATTTAATGGTCTATTTTCCTTAGTCTATCATGAAATTGTTACTTTTTCAGGACCTGGGACAGTAGCTTTTTCTAATGAGTACCACATAAATGTCTCTTGAATGAATTAGTGAATGATTACAAGAGCAGAAAAAGGAGGAACTAGGAAGTTCCAAAAGAGAAAACTTGCATTGAGATATGTCAAAATATAAACAATGTTTTAGCTATCTCCTTGCAGTGATTTTTCAGGTGAATTCTACTTTCTTCTTTATATTTTTATGTATTATTTGATTTTTGCGGGATTTAAATATATACAATTATATATGATTTTATATTTAACAAATTTATATACACAAGATTAAAATAATTAAAAACTTTCAAAAGACTTCAAGCAGTTCTACAGCTATTCACTGCAAGTCCAGACATTTTTGTATTATTCTGCAGCTGCCACAAATCAACACACCCTGCTGTTTCTCTCAGCACTAACAAATCAGAGCTTGAAAGGTTCATTGTATTAAAAATATCTGTGAGGACTTTTGGTTAACTACTTCAGAAGCTTATGCACAAATCACTGTCAAGGCAGTTGTATTAATATAAAAAGCTGGTCACTTTAAACTTATCTTACTCATAACCTTCTAAATCCAATTCTCTCCGGCAAACTTCAGATCTGCATTTTTGTCTCTGCACTTTCAAAACCTGACATTTTTAACAAATACTTTCAATAGCCCATTTTAGCACCACCTGAAAAACAGCTCTCACTCTTCTAGCTGATGATATATTTTTAGAATACTTGTCTTTTTCCATGGGTTTTTAGGCTTTGCTTCCATGCCTCTTGAGAGAGACTATAGCAGACAGATCTGTAGTTAGGACATAGCACTGCTACATTGAGTATCTGGTTTTTAAAAATGTCCTGGACTGTTGCTGAGAGGTGGAGTATCTGAGTCAGGAGCTCTGATGAGTGGTTCATTTTGTCAGACTCTTCACAATTCTTGTGGGAAACTAGAACATTTTAAAACCCATGGTAAGGTTTAGTCAATATTAGGGAAAGGAATGTTACTGAATGCAGATATTGGTATATGTTATCTTTTCTAAAAAAGTTTTTTATTGTACATTGACATTTTATAGTTGTATATATTTAGGGGGTACAAAGTGATGTTATGATTTATGAATACAATGTGGAATGATTAAATCAAGCTAATTAATATATCTATTACCTCAAATACTTGTAATTTTATTTTTTATGGAGAGAACATATGAAATTCACTCTTTTAGTAATTTTGAAATGTGCTGTTATTAGCTATATTCACCATGGTGTCTAACAGATCTCAAAATAAAACCTTATTCCTCTTGTCTGTGATTTTGTACCCTTTGGCCATCATCTCCCCATTCCTCCCAACCCCTGAGCCTCTGTAACCACCATTCTATTCTCTGCTTCTGTGAGCTCATGTGTTCTAGATTTCAGACATAAGTGAAAACATGCAGTGTTTATTTCTCTACCTGGCTTGTTTCCCTTATGGATGACTCTGGCAACAGTTTGGAAACAGTGCGGTAGGGATATGGGCTCGAAGTTCAAGTAAAACCTCTGTCCCTTATGGTTGTGTCTCTGTCCAGACAAACCTCTCTGAATTCAATATTCATATCTATAAAAGAGAGATAGTATTCATACCAGTCTCAACAGAACTTGTTCATGTCCGTGACAACCCAAAGTAAGTGAATGAAACAAGGATCTCAGTCACTGGAGGTTTACAAAGCCAAAGTTTTGAGGACACACCTGGGAAAAACACAAACCATCTGTGACTGTTTTTATACAAAGTGAGATTTGGGAATCCAGTATTTGAAAAGGAGAGGGCATATAGAAAGGAAAAGGAGGAAGGGTTTGGGTAATGAGGCAAATGGTTACATTCTTGTGAGGCCCAGGAACCGTACAATTTACACAAGATAAGGTGAATGTTTGAAGAGAAAAAGGGAGGAAAGGAAGAATTAATTATGCAGATGTATCTGGGTGCATCTTGTCTCTGTTCTGCACCTCGGCAGATAAACTTGGAATCCATATTATTAATGTGGAATCAACAGACTTTAGTTTTGGGAGCTATGCTTAGCCTACAGACTCAAAGTTACAAGTTGCATGTCCTTGCTTTTGGAAGGCCAGCAAAGGATTTCCTTATGAAGGATCTGTGGGGGACAATCCTTAGTAGATGCCTGAGGACTTTTACCTTCCCTTGAGGATCTGGCTGATGCATAATGTTTATAACAGTTATTCATTTAAAGGGGAATGAATATGACTCAGCCTCCAGGCTTGACCTTCCCTTTGGCATAAGGAGTTGGGAGGAGGTGGGCTGAGATTTTCATTTTCCTTTACATACATGAAGCACAATAAATGTTAGTTTCACTTTCCTAGTTAAGTAAATTAAGAAAAGCCCTAAAATAATAAGTATATAGTTAGGCGATTGCTTAAATTCACTCTACTGACTTTTTGTATTTTTAGATTTTTTTCTATGAGTATGAATTACTTCTATAAATCTTTTAACTTTCAATAAACTGAGAAGCACTGTATTGGAAATCTTGAATAAATATTTGGCACAAAAAGATCACCTAGTAAGGCCACACATGTCTAAATTTAGCAATATATTATAAAACTTTGAAGTTATTAATAAACCAACAAAATCAAAGTGGCTACTGAAAAGGAAAGAGAACAACTTACTGATTAATGGAAATGTCAGGTCAGCAGTCTGAAATGTCAGTTCTTGGTGTGCTCTTGGCCGAAGAATGACCAGTCACATTGAAAGCAAGGTTAGCATGAAATGAGGTTTATTGAGGAGAGAAAGATAGGATTATAGAGCAAGAGCAAGAAATAGGTTTACAGAGCAAGAGCAAGATATATTCACCATAGACGACAAACAGACCCCTTGTTGTAATAAAAAACAGCTTGGTTGTGGTCTGGGGTCTTGTTTTATAGTGTGTGGATTGGGCCCTCCTAGTGGTTCACACATCACCTTTGAACCAGTTTGATAGACAGTTGGGAGTCATATAATCTGGGTCTTACTACACAAGACTCATGTGGATCTCCCATGAGCCTCTATGAAAGCCCATTCGAGGGGGTGAACCAATGTAGAGTTAAGCTAATGACATGATAATTAGTTTTAGGTCATCCTAGGTCACCTTCCAGACCTGTGATGCTTGGCCTCAGGGCTAGAGAACCCTCTGCATTCTTTTGCAGTTAGCAGGCTAAGTTCTGATTAGCAGATTGGTAGGGCATTCTCTCCTCTCGTAGATGTAGCAATTGCTTGGGCACCTGCCTTTGTCTCCAGGAGGGGCCAGAGGTCCCTGCTGTCTACCTAACAGAAATGCATTCAAGAGAGAAGAGGGACTTGGCTGATTTTTACATGCTGCTTTCCACTCTGTCTTCTCTCTTCCCTTCCTCTGACTCCTTTCCTATCACTCCACCAGTCTAAGAGTTGGGGGGGGGGCGGTGATTGGGGATGGATGGGAGAAAAGGAGTTCCAGGGAGATATCTTCCTGCCTCCCCTACCGTCCACTCCCACTGCCCTCACTCCCCACCGCTATGATCAAAAACAGGAAGTCTGCTAGGCCATGGAAGTGGGGCTATTCCATGATTATAGTGCAAAAGGGGCACTTGAAAATGAAAAGGTGATGTTTTGGGAAAAGGGATTAAATTGTCTGTGACTGTACTAAGGGAAATTCGAAATTCTCCAGCTTCCAGGTTGAAGATAGCATATACCAGATAGAGCCACAGATGCATCTAAATGATGAACTCCATGAAGGCCCAGGACTGAGCTCAAATAGAATCCTTTCAAAGGTTTTCCAGACACAGATAAAACTGTAACATGACTGCCATGAAAAGTAGCCTTAATTGAGCAATAATGAGAGGGTGTCAGCCAATATCATTACCACTCCAAACTAAGACTCTGGTGGGGAATTTGGGAAGTAATAATAGCTAGTACTTATTGAGATGTGGCAGGAACTGTTATATATTCTTCATGTGTATCATTTTATTTCATCATTCTTATAATCTATGAGATAGGTACTTTTATTAGGCCATTTCTCAGCTATAGGAACTCAGGCACAGGAAAGTTAAACAATTTGCTGATTAACATATGTCTAGTAGGTGGCAGCGATTGAACAGAACCGCTGTGCTTTGTTGTTTGATAGATTTCAGTCTAGTAAACGGGCAACCATCTAGAATGTTGAGTAATTGCTATGGCAGTCCCTGGCTATTGGAGAGAGGATATTAAAGAAGGCAGGGGTGACAGAAGGCTTGTTGTAACTTGACAGAGCCAATTTGGCTATACATAGCTGTGAGGTTCTTTCTGGTATCTAACTCCTTCCCATAACCTAGCTATTGGGTTATAATGAAAAAAAATCTTCAGCGAAAATTTCCTACATAGGGAGGCATTTATCAGATAATAATGCATTAGCAAAGAGTATGCAAAACACTTCCTACATTATATTCTCGAGTCTTAATGAAATCACGGCTTTCTGCTCTTGTTTGAGAATTTCAGTCAGGCAGGACAACGAAATTTCTGAGGCAAGATTCTCTGTCCTTAGTAGTGGGCGTCCTGTAGTCAGAATTCTCCTAAACCAGTGTCTAGACATAGAACTGATTTGGGATCAAGCAATGGACTCCATTCCCAAGAGTTAGAAGTACAAGCCAGGGTGAATTCTTATATCCTTTTCTTGCAGGAGCATACAGTGTCTCTAAACAATTCTAGCCAACCCACACTAGAATAACTTTATTTCTTTTACTAAATATCCATTTCTATTATTCATCACACTCAATAATGTCACTGGTTCTATCAATGAAAATTCATTCTTTTTCTCATATGCTAATTAGAAAACGTCAATTGTTTATTGTGATACCGTTAACAGCATGACTTATGAGCAACCTCTGGAGTGTGGCCATTCAGGTATAATGCCAGCTGACTGCAGCTAAACATGAAACTATAACTGGCACAAACATAATGTTACACTGGTTATGCTGAGATGCTTCAAAGTAAATCACAGACCTTGTCACAATATTGCATATTTCTCGTTTTCACATTTTTGGGGAGGCTCCTTGTTCTTCCTTTGGACTCTGCTTCTATTTTTGGAAAGGTAATTTTCTTTCATTGATAGACTTTTTGGTTTGCCCATGAAAAACAAATATTAGGTTTTTCTTTTGTTATGTGTGTGATATTAAACTTACAGTGATAAAAGTCAAACCATTTGAATAATAATAACCACATCTGTTAAGTGCTTACTGCAGTACTGGGAATTTTATTGTGTACTCTGGAGGTATGGTTTAGCTTAGTCTTCATAGCAAACCAATGATTAAATTATTCTGGTTTGCAGCAAAAATAAATCTGAGGCTCTAGGAGATTAAATAATTTGGCCAAGGTCACATAGTAAGTGGCAGCAACATCATTCAAACCCTGGTCTGAAATTCCAAGGCTCATGCTTTTAATCAATCCGCTATGCCGCTATGGGGTTATTTTAAAACACACATTGTTTTTTTGTAGACAGTACATCATTTACCCTTAATGCTTAATATTTTAACAAATGTTCAGGGACAACTAACCATGAGAGGATGAGGTATTGTGTGTCTTATTTGTGTGGCTATAGATAAGAATGCATGAAGGTATAGAGAAAGAGATAGGTATGCGTGTGTGTGTGTTTGCCTCTACTTCTGAACATTTTGTTTTCCAGTTGTAACATATTATAAGACAATTAGAACATATTTGAAATACATCCTGTGAACCAGAGTAAAAATGGTCTTGGCTAGTATCATTTGGTAATTTTGGCTTAACAAACCAAAAACCTTCCAGATGACTGAAAAACTGTTTTTATCTCCTTTGGTTAAAGATGCTTTAGGATCCAGATATGTAGAGAACTATATTCTCATGCCGAAACACATGGAATGAGTACTCTAAGAGATTTGTCAAGTTGTTTGAAGATGAGTCTCATGTAATGAGCATATCTTTGCAACAATGCATGCAATCTTTTTATGAAAAAGTTTTACATATGATTGAGCCCTTGAGAGATTAAAAATATATAAAAACACAAAACTCTCTCAGCTCTTTAAGCTTAAAATTTGTAGGCAAAGGAAATGACTAAAAAGAAATTTATTTCTTGCTCACATACAATCTGATCAATCCTTAAGAGAATGACTCCATGCCAGCATTCAGGGACCCGGATGGATGGAGATCATCACTTTCAACATGGAACTTTTAAAGTCACCTTGGGCTTTGAAATACAACTGAAAGTTGTTAGAAGAGAGAAAATTGAGAATCACCTAGGAGGTTTATATGGGTCATGCTTGAAAGTGGGGTATAGCTTTTCTACCTACATTTCACTAGCCACAGCTAAGCTGTTTACCCCTATGTAGATGCAAGCGAGGACAGGAAATGTAGCTTCTTTCTGGGTGGAAGTGTCAAAGCAAAATCTCTAAATTAAGTGTCAACAGAAGCATTATTGGTAAAGAACATTGGCCCCAGTAAAGTCACATACTTTGATGAATAAACTGAGAGAAAAAACGTGCAGAAAAATCAAGTTTGCAAGTGGCATAAAATTCTTGCTGATATTTTAATTCCACATTTATGTAATTCAAATGCAGGGGTGCTATTTTCTAGAATTGAAATGCAGGAAGACCCATTTGTAATAGATGTAACTAAAATGTTAAAATGTTAACTGTTGGAGGAAAAATGCTTTATTGTCTTTGAATAATATTTTGTATTTCAGAATAGCTTCATGAAAAGAAGTATTGTGTATGAATTGAAAGTGTGCACCTTGGAGTCAGCCAAACTGTAACTAATGTTTCTGTATAGGAATATATGAAATGATGCATTAAGGGGAAATATTTCCAAATGTACTCAAAAGATAATTGCCATTAAAATCCATACTTCAGGAAAGAGCCTGAGAGTTACTTTAAACTTTCTGCCGTTATCAGGCCAATACACAGGCAGCACAACAAAGATTTACAATGCGCTGAAGATTGTAACAAAGGATACTGAACACAAAGCACAAAACATTAGTCTCCTCTTAGACAAACATGGCACAACTGACCTTGGATTGTCTAGTTCTGTTGCACTTATTGAAGACAACATCCTAAGCTAAAACCATTATTTAAGCAAACAGTTTTGAAAATAGAAATGTTGTAAGAAATACAACTTCCACATTTCCTTATTGTTTCTCTTATTCTATTGAGTGACTCATACATATTTATTGCTCCAAGCTTTTGATTTATAAATGCATGTGTGTGTGTGCATACTTGCTTGTGAGCACATGCAATCCTCTCAGGCTGTATCTGTGCGGGAATTTAAGCTGCTAGACAAAACCACGTCCCTCTAAGTTGACACTTCAGGACTACAGCTGCCAGATGCTCAAAAGAAACATCTGTTCCTGAAGGCCACAGGAGACAACAATGAAAGAAAAATAGGATAATTTTACAAGACAAAGTAAATCCAACAAATGTGCAAATATAGATCATGCATCCTGTTTCAGACACTCTGGCACATAAGGGGAAATAATGGAACAGTAACGTCATGTATTATGCCATAGGGCTGTATTCCTGTTTTAGAGGTGTGATATTGGACAAGTCATTATTTCTAATGATATTGGACAAGTCATTATCAGTTGTTCAGTGAGGGGGAGCATTATGGTAATGGGGATGGGGCAATGAGGACAAATCTCATTTAAGCCCTAATTTTGCGCCTGTTTGCTCATACAGGACCATGGTGATAAAATCAGCTAGCCCTACTCTTTGGGCATAACGATGGTGGAGTCACCTGAACTTGAAGCCATCTGAAGCCAGTGAAAAAAAGCAATGTGAGTGAAGGCCACAGGCTGCATCACAAGGACTGGTGTAAGCATGATGGCTCAGGAAGGCAAAAAGCAAGCATCGCTGAATTAGAAGTTCAGCTTTCATGATGGATTAATTTGTGGTTGGGCTGTTTGAAAGGGAAGGGAAGGAGAGGATCTGAGAAAAGTAAGAAGGTGCAAAACTTCTAAGTTCTGAATGCTAGGGAGTGGGGTATCCTTCTAAACTTCCTGAAAATTCTTGGTCCAAAGAGCCTTCCAATAGTGCTGGTGATGTAACTCATTTCTAGCTGACTACTTGGAGATGGTCCTCAGCAGCCTGGCTTCTTGTGACTCAACAGTTATGCAGAGCATTGAAGCCCTGACTCCTGGCCACCTTGGCGACATTGCCTTACCTGCTTTGTTCCATAGCCTGCCATACTCAACTTCAGCCTACTCACCTTGGAACTTCCTGCAGTGATGTTGATTAATACCAAGAAATGGCAGCAACTCCAGTCCTATGTATTTTCTTTTTCCAGAAATCTTGTTCCAGGTCCAGCAGCTTGTTCCTTGCAATTTTTCTCCCAATTCTCTCACACTCCCTTCAATATCCCAGGGATTGAGGCAGTTCCTTCTTTCTTTTGTTTATTCATTTTTCAAAAATCTTAATCCTGGCATCTAAGTGTCTACTTTCAAGGAGACCCTTAAAATCTCCTTCACCATTTTTCCCCCGTAGACATTTGTCATACAAAAAAGCAGTCCTGGTAGATGCTGTCTGCCTTCTGGCTTGACATTGCAGAATTCCTGAGATGGTTATAGGTATGAAAAATACCACCCCACATCTTCTTCTCTCTTCTTTCTCTTTCTTTTCTCTTCTATCCCCCCCCATATATTAACACACATGCAACAATGTTATCCCTATTTTTATTCAATGGAAACACCAAAAATAATAACTTATTTGATTCTCATTGGTTTTATTTTATTCCCTGAAGAACTGTGTGTTTCTATATGGAAAAAAACATATTGAAATGATAAAGGACAAATAGAATTATCCTGTATCCTTTGCAGAATCATATGAAGAGAAAGTAAGGATCATTCTTAGTAGCAAATACACTGAGACTGTTCCAGTGTCTGGCCCTAATATTTGGGATCTATGAATTCCGCTCTTTGAGAGAACGAACTTGTTTCATGCCCCAAATCTCATTTTTCAGACTCTCGAGTTTCTTATATAGAATTCTGGAGCAGTCTCTGTGAAGGAAGGGAGGGCCCACTTAGCTAGACACAAGAGTGGACTAGAGATCCAGTATTGTTTGTCAACAACCCAAAGGCTGGTCTCATTGGCACCCTCCAGTGACCTTTACAGTTGTCATCTGAAGTCATTGAACAAGTCTTCAAAGGTAAAGCTGAAAAGAAAGAGACCTTTCCTCTTGAGATCCAGCAGTGAGGTTTTAGGATGTGGACTATAAGCTCCCAAACACACGCTCTTGGATTAAAGACCAGCTAATTCTGAATTTATGGTTATATACAGACCCAATCAGAAAATGACATCCCATCTAATTTTACCTGCATCTAAATCTCCCCCCCCCCCCCCCCGCAATTCTTGGAGAACGGTGAAGACAGAGACCAGCCTGACTCATGGACACTCATGAGACATTGGGGATGATATCATAATCATGAGAGCAGGCCATACCCTGTTTTAAACTTCATCAGAATTGTGCAAGATGCCTCAAATACAAAGATGAGTAATATAGGGTTCTTTTTCTCAAAAGTTATCTACTGCAGTGGTTCTCAAGTTTTAACATTCATAAGAATCAAAGGACAGTTGTTTAAAATGTGGATTATTGCCCTCCACCCACATTTGAATTCAGCATGTCCTTGTGGAATTTAGAATTCTGAATTTTAAATAAAAGTCCCTAGGTGATTCTGTTTAAGAATCACTCTCTTAGAAGTATTGATCTAATAAAAGGGACCTGGAAAAAAAAATAGAAGAAATGATAATGAACAGGGCAAAAGTAAATATTTTATCCCAGAATTGCCAGCAATTACACCTGACCAGAGAATGTCTTTTATCTGTTCTGCACACACATGATACGTTCTTCAGCTCATACTCAGAAGGAGGTGATCACACATACAATTTACACATTTGTCTTTCATTCGCACCTGCTGAAGGAACGGCATGCATGTGCATGCAACTACTGAGTTCATCTCGGGGGTTCCTAATTGAAAATGCACAACTCAGAGCAAAACACAGGCAGAATAATGTAGAAAGGTTTATTAACCAGATTTATTATTTTTTCTTCTATCTGTGTCTTTCTACTGGCAGAAAAAGAGGCAGTAACATCTCAGGTATATGTGGTTGCTATAGGGACAGAAGTTGTGATTTACTGCAGAACATTGCTGCAAATAGCAATAAAATAGCAATTCGGCAGAGGTCAGAGGCACAGATTCACTGAAGCTACAATCAAACCAGACAGATGCTTAATCCATTCAATAAGAAGTTTGCAATTGCCATTGTTAGGTAAGTGGAAGAATGGTGAAATCAAGCCAAGTGTTTCCCTCCTGTTTACATGTCTCCAAATGCCCCAAGGTCCTTTACCCAGAGCTTTCAAGCTTCTGTTCCAGGTACCCTGGGCAGTAGAAGGGGTTGATGACAGACAAAAATGTTATTTTTGTTCCAATGACTCAAAAGTCAATATTCAGAACTACAGAGAGATTCTAAAATCTGACACCTTATGATCCAACAGAGACATATTCTTTCCAATATATTAAAAATAAACCTGGAGTTTGCTGCTTACATTAACCTATGAGGCAACTCCTATCTTCCTAAATGTTACAACTTAATTACTGCTTAACAGATGGACATGATGTGTGTATATATAGATGTGTGTGTATATATGTATATATATATAGGTACATGTGTATATATATATATATATATATACACACACACAAACACACACATAGTTATACCTATTATTGTTTTGAGTGGAATAGATTTAGCTAGCAATGGCATTGCCCCCTTATCTCATCCCTACCCCTTTTCTTTCCTGGAGTTCAGCACTCCGGAATAAGCACTGACCACCCTGCTGTCTTAGGGGATATGGGTCCATCAAGTCTCCTTATGTCTTCTCCCTCATTTTCAGCACAGATGCCTACAACTCTGCTTCCTTTGTCCTTTAAATTGAATTTCTTATATTTTATTTCCCTTTATCTTCTACCCCGATCTTTACCTATTAGGACTCTCATAGCATTTTCTGTTACAGTTTTTGGAGCATGTGTGCTCCAAGATTGGCATCAGGGTGGTGGTGGTGTTCTGATATGTGTGTTTTAGACTTTACCTAAATATTTGATTTCTCTCTTTAATTTACAAGTATTTAATTTACAAGTATTTAGTATCCAATCTGGTGCCTACTCCAAAGTGAAGGAATTCGGAGCATGCAAAATAACACAAGCTATGGTCTCTAGTCATAAAGAATGTAAAGTTTAGTGAGACTCTGAAAAAAAATTATTAACACATGAAGTAATGTGGACTATATAGGAGAAGATCAAGTGCTACATTGTATTTTATAAAAATGCTGTTCATTGGTGTTGGAATGACTCAATTAAACTGAGTGCCTTTGAAATGATGTAGCACGATACATACCTCAGAATTTACACTCCTCAAAACCCCTCACATCTAAGAGGAGAAAGAAGGGCTCTAAGATGCACATGTTTTATCTTTTGATTGGCTGGAGGTGAGCCATTAGTGTGCACATATCTGTCTTTTTCTTTTATCAAGAAAGGCAACTCTTTCCTCTGGAGCTCAGCAAAGAAAAAAAGTAATTTGCCCCAGTGCTGGAAGTAAAACTAGCTGCTTTGAACTTACTGGGAAGCTGTATGTCACTTTCCAGTCTATCTTGTTCTTAATTAGCATTGTATCTTTTTCTTTCTTTTTAAAGCATATTTACATTTATTTGTTTGTTTTCAACATAGCGGTGCAGTGTTGAGTTAATCAGTACATGACACCATCCTGATTAATGTACAGTTAATTAGTTCTGTCATCATTGGTCCTATTGAATTTTATTTTATGTTACTGTTCTTCTCCTTAATCCCTGATTTCTGTTTCAATTACCTTCTTTTTACCCTGTCCCACCTCTCCTTATATTAGCCGGTATGTTTAATATGTCCTTGTCCCATGTCTTTAATAATAAAAATTCTTGCATAAAGTTATAGTCATGAAGAATATATTGAGTTGTTTTGCAAGATGGTAAGTGTAGTGGTTAAGAGTGTGGATCCTGGATCCACCTGCCTGGGTTGATACTCTAGCTTATTAGTTAACATATCTGTGCCTTAGAATTTTCATCTAGACAATGAAGATAGTAATAATAGCCATCTCGATGGGTGGTTATATGGATTAAAGTGCATATAAAGTACTTAGAACAGTGTCTAGCGTGTGCTAAATACTACATAAATATTAGCTATGGTTAGGAATATTTAATTTGCACAGATGATATTGAGCTATAGAGCTCATTTTTTGGGTAAAATTTTCACATGACTATTTTATGGTATATCTATCTTCATTATGGACATTACTTCTGAATGTTATGCATCCTTTACATTTCACCTACACATTCCCCACTTGTATACAGACACCCAGGTTGCTTCTAGTCTTGTGTAGACAAGGCTGTAATGTATGTCCTTACACTCTCTGAAGGACTGTGGGAGTTTCTCAGGCTGTGTGACCAGCAGTGAGGTCCATGGACCACTGCACGGACGACACGTGCTTTGCCAAGGACTACCCTGACGCTCTCTACACAGCTGTTCTCAGTGGAGCTCGGGATTTCCTCTCTCCTCTTATCCTCACCAGCATGTTGTGATCTGGCTTTCTGATTTTGCCAATTTGTTGGAAGAAACGATGTATTTTATTGTGATTTTAATCATCTACCTCTCTGATGGTAGAAGAGTTAAGCATTTCCTTACATATTTGTTGGCCATTCAGGTTTTCTCCATCCTGCCCTTGCCTGTTTTTCTACTTCAGTCCTTGTCTTTTTCTTGCTGTTTTGTATGAGTTCCTTGTGCATTTTAGAAAATAATCCTTTGTCAGTTTCAGATGCTGCAAATATCTTCTTCCAAGCTACCATTTGTCAGTTAATTTTAAGGAATATCCCTTATATTTTCCTTTTTATCAGGTAAAGTTTTATCATAAAGAGATATTGACATATATCAAATGTTTTTCTCCTTTTATTATGATTGTATGATATTTTCCTCTTTATTCTATTAATCTGGAGAATTATAATAGCCTTTTGATGTTAATGTATCTTCTTATTCCTGCATAAAAATCTACTTGATCACGACGCATTTTTAACATACTGTTGAAATCAGTTAGTTAAAATCTGATTTAGAATTTTCATATCCACAATCGTGACTGAAATGGGCCTATAATTATTTCGTTTTTATTTCTGCAAGTGGTTAAACTAGTCTCTGATAATAAGTTGAGCAGCTTTTACTCACTCTTTATTCTCTAATATATGCCCTGAAAGTTTGGTAAAAATTCATCTGTAAAGCTGTCTAGGTGTGAAGATTTTAGGGAAAATTAAAGACTTTAACAAAGATTCCAGTTCCCTAGTCTTTTAAAAAATGAAACTCTTTGGTTTACTTATTCATTAATTTCTGCTTTTATTCTTTCCTTTTCTCTGGGTGGTGGTGGGGTTATTTTATTCTTCTTTATTCCTAGTTTCTTCAGTTGAAAGCTTAACCCAATTATTTTCTTTCTTTTTTTGATAAACATATATAAAAGTATAAATTTCTAAGTATTGCTTTCACCATATCCTACAGATTTTTACATACTATCTTTTAATTATTATTTAATCCTAAGTAGTCTCTGATATCACTGTTGATTTACTTCTTCTCTAACAAAAGCTTTATTTGGTAGTATATCTTATAGTTCCCAGATGTGTTTCTTTTTGGTTATATTTTTATAATTGGTTTCTAATATTATTGCATAACATAATCTAATTTCATTGCACAACATAATCTGTTATTATGCATAATAGATTATTATACACATACAGAATACAGTATCTGTATGATAGATAGTGTTTCTTTGGACAGTATTGATGCTTCCTTTGTAGCTATTACATGGTCAATTTTTGTAAATGTTCCAATATGAGCATGAAAAAATGTATATGTGTATGTACACACATGTATATACATATGTAAATACATATATATGTGCTCCATTATGAACTTATGTTATAGAGCTCATGTTACAGTGATGTTAAATAACTTAATTTATTTTTGGCTCCTTGATCTATCAGTTTCTAAGGGGAGTGGTTATAATCTATGATTGTAATTTTTGTTTGCCAATTTCACATAGGTACTTAAAAGATCACAATGTACTACAAGGCAGTACATTACAAAGTCCCCCGCCCTACATCCCTGTAACCCCATTTTCTACTTCCCAGAATCAAGCAACTCTAACTTTTTGGTGATTTCTTTTGTTAATTTTTTTTCATATTGCTAGATTTTAAATTTATATGTGTTTGCATATATTTACACACATACAATTTATATATATATAAATAATAATTTTATATTTAAAATGTTAGGCATTACTTATTAACTTCCTATTATGGCAGCGAAAGCTTAGTCTTATACACACTTCTTTCTCCCTCCTCTTTTCCTTCTCCCATCACACAATATGTATGCTATATTGTTCACAGCTGAGCTGTGTGGAATGTTATAATTATATATCTTTTATTATGTTGGTTGTGTTTAATAATTGCCTTATTTTCTCACTTGTTACTTATGAGAAATGTAGAACTCCTCTCAATACAATCAAACGTATCAGAAAATGTCAGTATTTTTTTTTTCTTACTTAATTTGGAATTGACCATGCTGTAGGCCTGCTGCACGTGGACTTTATTTTTTAAACCTACCTCCTAGGGATTCCCTTATCTCTTTTCTGTGAAGCTGCTATTTCCTGTTTCTCTTGATTTTCATTTTTTCTGTTTTACTCCCTTATCCTGTGGAGCACATCTTCCAGCAGCTTCTTGACAGAGAGTCTATAGATGGAGAATTTGTGAGCCTCTGCTTGGCTGAAAATATCTTATTTTCCTTCATACTTGATTGATAGATTTCACGGGATATAATTTTACCTTTGAAATCACTTTCCCTTAGAATGTTGAAAGTATGTCTTCATTATCTTTTACCTTCTAGTGTTGCTATGAAGCCATCCATCCTGGGGTGTTTCACCTCCCCCACAGTAAAACAGGAAAGAGGATGAAGGGCTATATCTGTCCCCTGGCACCTGTGCACATGCTAGCATCTTCTCTATGACCCACACAGCCGTGGCCAGATCTGAATGTCACCTAAGACTGACACGCGGGGCTCACAGAACGCATTTTCTGTCTTACCACCTTGCAGCCAAGGTGGTCCAAGCCAAGCCAATGTCAGTAGAGAAAAGAAAATACTCAGGAAGCATTCCCCTGGGCTCTTCCTGGTTTATGGCCTCTAGCTTTCCTCTCCAGGATAATTAGC